CAAATGGACAAATAGAGACACCTTCAGATTAGGGATGGTGAGTGGGGGTGTGACCAGGGGCAGGGCTGTTCTGAGAATATTTAGGTGACTGATTAATAATTTATGCAACTAAAATGTAATTTCCATCAATGTAACTTATTTACACAGATTGTTTTCTAGAGCCATTCATTGTAGTTTAAAGGCACGTTACTGTATTATTGCTGCGGAGCTCTGTTATGCAGTCAGAAACACCAATAATATGGAGCTCCTAGAGAAGAGGGATATTAAAACAGAAAAGAGAGAATTACACCCAGTAGGGACACGGAGGTATGTGTCTGATGTATTTAGCTGTGCCATGGTGCTATAGCGTGTTAAAGGGACACTATAGGAATCCAGACCACTTCACCTCATTGAAGTGGTCTGGGTGCAGTGTTCTGTCCCCCCCTAGCCCTGCAATGCAAACCTTGGATGCAGGCTGAGACTGCCTCTAGAGGCGCTTCCTGCTGTTTCACAGAATTTGACTCCATGAAACGATGCTAGATGTCCTCAAGCTGTGCATGAGTACATCCAGCATCTTCAAATCCCCTGTAGGAATGTATTGATTCAATGCTTTACCTTGGGGAAGGCCTAATGCAGGAGTGACGCTCGCTGTGCACATTAGGTTTCCACTCTGCATCGGAGGAGACAGAGACAGAGCCAGCACCAAGGGACCTCAGCGCTACAATAAAGTAAGTGAGGAAAGATTTTTTCTTTAATCACTTTAACATCCGGGAGGGAGAGAGGGGGCACAAATGGACACTATAGAGTTAGGAATACAGGTGCACAGCTAGATTGTATCATTGCCCTTTATATATTTATTTATGCACTCTGAAGTAGTTTTCAATCAGTACAGCAGAGTCCTTTTGTCTTCTCTATCCATACATAAAGCATGAGCAAACCTCTGTGTAATGGGCATGCGTTGATTACGTTTCTGCCATGTCACTTGTTTCCACCATACGTGCATCATCTTTCCCCCTTTTCTTGGCTCTACATAATTTTTTATTGTGAACCCTGCTCCTCTGTGTCATTATATGGTGCTTCCCTTGAAGTTTTCTAAATGCTACAATGCTGGCATGGCAATTATGACGCTGACCAATGTTGTTGTTTTTTTTACTATATAAAGCTTCCTTACAGAAGGTAGTGTGCCCAGTCTTAATTCCAGTATCCAGTAGCTGTTATATCAACCTCGTGTACCTCTGTATTCCTGATCTCTGGCTTGTAATATGGATTTCTCTTTTATGGCTTTTCGTCTGTTCATTTATCTGCATGTAGCCTAGCCAAAACTAAGGGCCAGGGCACATGCTCAATCCCATTCCTCTGCCTTTTTAGGTCTGACCTTGTTCTGCATGTTAGGATTTAGTCTTATCCTGACAGTTTCTGGATGTATTTTCTTATCCATTGTTGTAGCCATATCCATGTATCTGGCTAGTACATTGGAACACTAGAGAAAGACTGTAAAATCTTTGTTTCTTCTGTGTCTTTTTCCTGTTGATTGGAATAATTATTTTATGTATGTTTCTTGGGTTAAAGGGTCGCCATGTTAATATACGTCTATATTAACCAAAAATACTAATACGCAATCTGACTAACGGTTTCTTCAGGTTTATTCTTAAAGTTACAGATACATAATAAAACAATAAAGGATGTTACATGATCATGGATGTTCAACAGCAGATGGTAATTGCTGGACTCCTGAAGGGAGAGTTACATCGTAACATAGCTGTACAGGAAGAAGAGCCAAGAGAGAGAGAGAGACCTCGTGTCCCTTTGTTCAGTTACTATATAGATGTGCTCATTCTGACGTCAGACTATAACTCTAGCCATATAAGGATAAGACCACCAATCCACATTCCAGAGTTCTCAGACAGACAAAGAAACCCCTGTGACTTATTGATACCATCTGTTACTTATGTCAATCCAGACATCCATACATAATCAATAGAAACATAAAATATGCAATATTCTACAGAGACGTCTCAACCACTAACTTGGGCATCCCAGAGAGGAAAAAGTTTACCAGATTGTGAAGGTTGGCATGTGGACTTTGGATTCAAAGGAGGAGAATTATAAAAGTGTAATTAACAGAAAATGGAGCAAAGTTCTGAAATTGGAAAAACACCATGGAAACAACAGGACTTTCCTGCTGAGGTTATCGGGGACTTCCTCGCACTATAACCTAGGCAAAGAGCGAAGGTTGTTGTGGTGCTTGGAGAGTATCTTTATTAACCAATCACTGTTTGCATTGTATTCATTTTCATGGTTTCCTGCCTTTTCTTCATCTTCATTTATTTTCCAGTTATAAAATTTTGCAAAGGTTAAAAAATAAAATACAGCATATTAATGAGGCCAAAAACTATGAAATGCTTTAAAGTAGTATTAGGGCCTAGAGTTTCCCTTTAAGTGTAATATTATTACTATTAAAATAGATTTTGTAAAACCCCTTTGTTAGACTCTTCCCTTTGCAACATGGGAGATTTTTCTGCTACAGAAAACATTTACAGGATTATTCACCAATGTGTGAATTGTGGGGATTCAAAGTGATTTTCTAATTTAAGGCCAAAATAGCTGTACCACAGGATAAAGCCGCTTTTACCAAACATCTAAATGAATATCAATTCAAGATAACTCAGAATTTTTTTTAATTTTTATCACACAAAATTGCACTCTACCACAATAGACCCAGACAACTGTTTCGCACAGTAGAAAGGCTCTGCAAACCAGCATGCATGCATATCCCCACCAACTTTTCTCAGGATAAGTGTGAAGCATTTGCGATCTTTTTCAGAGACTGAAGATTTCCTCAATCCGAGCCTCTATCACAGCAGGCCAAACAGTTACACACCAGAACCACTACAATGGAATGCCAGATTGCCCCAGTTTATGGTCCACTTTTATAAATGTGGATATAGAGGGAGTTAAAAGAACCATGCAAATGTTACACCCTACTACATGTGACTTATGTCTGTCAGTGAGTGTATATCTGTCAGTGAGTGTGTGTGTGTCAGTGAGTGAGTGTATGTCTGTCAGTGAGTGAGTGTGTGTCTGTCAGTGGGTGTCTGTGTGTGCAGGGCCGTCTTTTAACTGGGGGCCCCAGAGCAGCTGCCCAGTGGGCACGCGATTTGCGCAGCCCCCATGGACCAGGCGGTGCGGCTGCACAGAGCCGCACCAGCACGCATACTAAGGAGGCCACCCGGTGAGCATGTGTTAGCAGGGGCCCGGTCGGGCGCTGTGATGCTTAAACAGCGCGACCGGGCCCCTTCCTGTTCGGCAGCAGGCTGGGAGGAAGTGAGTGCCGCACATCACTTCCTCCCACCGGAGATCAGGGCCGCGTGGGAGGAGGGGAGTTCCAAAGGATAACTCCCAACTGCCTCAGCCTGCCACTGGACCCCAGGGAAACCACCCTCCAGAAAAAGGTAAGAACCTGGAGGGTGGCTAAATGTATGTCATTATGTCTGTGTGTGTGTATGTCAGTATGTCTGTGTGTGTATGTCTGTGTATGTCAGTATGTCTGTGTGTGTATGTCAGTATGTCTATGTCAGTATGTCTGTGTGTGCGTGTGTGTATGTCAGTATGTCTGTCTGTGTGTGTCAGTATGTCTGTCAGTGTGTGTATCAGTATGTCTGTCAGTATGTATGTGTGTGTGTGCGTGTGTCAGTATGTCTGTGAGTGTGTCAGTATGTCTATCTGTGTGTGTGTGTCTGTCTGTGTGTATGTCAGTATGCCTGTGTGTGTATCAGTATGTCTGTCTGTGTGTATGTCAGTATGCCTGTGTGTGTGTGTGTGTGTCAGAATTCCGGCTTCTTAGACGACTTTTGGTCGTCTAAACGACGCTGGACCTCCTCATGCAATGCATGAGGACCTCCAGCATTGCCGGAATCCCCACAGGAAAGCATTGAATAATGCTTTCCTAAGGGTAGGGCTAGTGCGCACGCGGCCATTCCTGCGCATGGACATTAGATCTCCCCTGCTGGCGGACGTCGGCAGGGGAGGAGCGTGGGCAGAGCCTGATTCAGGTAAGTGTCTGAAGGGGTTTTACCCCCTTCAGCGACGTGGGATGGGGGACGGGGGGCAGGGGGGCACTCAGGATTCTACAGTGCCAGGAAAACGGGTTTGTTTTTCTGGCACTAGAGAATCACTTTAAATGGAGTCCCAAGGGTAGCCATTCGGAGTCAAGCTTAGCCAAACCGAGGCTGAAAGTAATGGCTTACATCCCTAAGGAGGATGAATAAAGTTAACATTTTGCATCCATCATGTTATTTGGCTACAAAACTATTTTGCAATAGAATGTTACATACTGTATGTTAAAATATACAACAGTGACACTCAGCTATGTTTGTGCGCCTCCTGCTGGCTTGCATGTGTACAGGAAGTTCAGTAAAATGTGACAGGCATTACTTCATATGCTGCTGTATAAGGAAGGCCTGAGGAATAGATTGCTCATCGATGTGGCCACAGGCAGTTTTATTTCCTTGTTTTATTAAGATTTAAAACCAAATTATATTGATATCCCTGAATCATAAAATAAGCAAGTATTCACTTCATTGTTTATTGGGGGAGGAGGGAGTGAATAAACATTTATCCTCCAAAAGAATATACACATCAACTTTTTTTTTTTGCAGTGCATATTCGTTTTACATCTACGCGTGAGGTACCCCAACGGCAATCCTCCAGCGTGTTTAGTACATAGCTAGAACAATTGGGATAACTAAAGTACATGCACAATTTTATATTTATATTTATGTAGTAGACAAATCGTTAGTTTCACTGCTTGGTGGATATTGGTAGGCTTAGTCCTGAAGTTAGGGCAAATGGTGTAGCATGTCCCAAGGGATTGCTGGAACGCTGTGTTATAAGGGGCTTAACTGGGCTTTCCAGGGGGGGTTTGCATGTGGTAGGAAAAGACAGTCTAGTCGACAAAAGGTGAGTCCCATAGGATGTATCTGCATAACAGAGTGCGTTAGTGTCCAGTTTTTGTGTGAATGGTGGGAACCGTTGTTCCGTCAGGGCCATCCTCTCTCCTGTTTTGCCGGTCAGACTATGCCTTGCGCGGGTAGGGAGCAGGTCTTCGATGGCAGGCTGTGAGTCTGGTGGTTCTGGCCTCTTGTGGGTAAGCCCTCGCTGTTAGGTTGGTGGGAGGTCGGGCTGTTGTGCGTCCGCCGGTTTCCGTGCCGGTTCCCTGGGGCTGTCGGTATGCTTCTGTTGCCGCCCGGTGGGTCTTCAGTTTCCTGCCGCTTGTGGGTGTCTCGTTGCTTTCGATGCTCGACATGTCCGTGCCGGTTCGGTGCTCGACATGTCCGTGCCTGCACCTGTTTAATTCCGCTTGGGTGAGTGTGTGGCTTGGTGACAGGCACTGCCTTTGAGTTCTCCGGGAACATTAGAGCTTCCAGCTTGTCCCAGAAAGCTTGGAAGGCCCTGTCCAGCCGGTGCTCTATTCCTGATTGCCCGCTGTGGGTACTGTGGGAGCACGCTGCCTTCGCCATTTTGGGTGTAGTGCCTCCTTTTGTTGCAGGCCCTTGTGTCGCTTCAGCATTCCTGCCAGGTCACACCAGGGTCTCACGAGGGTAGACCGGGATAACCCCCACCGGTCCAGAGGGGGGGAACGAGGGTCTGGTCTCCGCTTGTCAGCCGTGGTTGTCAGCGGGGGATCGGCCGTCTCCCGCATGCCGACTACGTGTGTAGGCCTCTCAGGCAGGGCTGGTGCAGTGTACCAGATTCGTCGCTTGTTTGGCATCATTGTGTGCCCCTGCTTGTAACCTTCTGGCTGGTGGTCTTTTTGAGCCGATTAGGCCCCGATTTGGTGGCTTAATATAGCTTAGTTGTTGCTGCAGAGCAGGAGCTAACCATGTCTGCCTCCTCTGCTCTCAGTGGTCAGGCCCCGCCCCCACATCAACTTTTAAATCTCATACATGACAATTTTAATATATTGTCCCCACATCCCAGCTGTCTGCTAAATACAAGTTTGTCTTTTGCACTTACATTAATATTATTAAAGAGGTACTACAGGCACCAAAACAACTTCAGCTTAAGGAAGCAGTTTTCTTTTTAAATTGTATTTTATTAACCTTTTCACATAAAACATGTTACTTTTGAAACACAGTGCTGCACATGCAGGATCAATACAGTATGAAATGTTTTCAATTCACTGTGTTTTTGTACGTACAAACATAGAATACCCTAACTTGCACAAAGTCAAAATAATGTGATCGAGTGTCACCCAGATTATCCCATGTCCTCTTATTGCATAAGGTCAAACCAATAATCATTAGATCTCTCCTCCACTTCCTATTAGTGTGCAAGAATATTGGGGGTTCCCCAGTTGAACTCCTTCCTACCCTTAAAATACAGGTTGTGTGTTCAGATGTCATTTAAGGCCTTGTAAATTCCTCCTGGATTTTCAAAAAGTTGATTTGCAGATTGGCTGTTGATCCATAGGTTTCGAATTCCCTCATAAAGTGTGGCCTCATCAGGGTTAGTTAAGTGGTTTCCTATCTTAACAAATCATCAGGTTATACTGCCACCTTATGCTCTGTTGTACTTATGCGTGGTCCAGTTATGTCAGTGTTATGTCTCATAGGTTCAAAGGCAAGGACAAAAAGAAGAAGCGAGAGCGGGCATCCATACCGGGTACCATTGTGTATGCCAAAGTGTTCTGTATAAGCTCCATTGTTGCAGATAGATAAAAACGTGTAAAGCAAGTTAATGTCTGATTGAAAATTAAAAAAAAATGTTCATGCAGGTCAGTGTCACTCACAGTTGGGGAGAGGTGGATAGGGCTGTATGGATGGAAACAAAAGTTATTTAATTCCTGGCAGAAAACTGAGCAGTGAGACTGCAGGGGCACGATCTATCCACTAAAAAGGCTTAATTAAGCTAAAGTTTTTTTTTTTTAAATTCTCTCTTATTGAGACAAAGTGGAGTGTTTTACAGAAAGGAAAAAGAAAAGTGAAGAATAGCACGCAGTGCTATGGCAGTGTCACATAAGTTAAATACAATGCGAGTCATTTGTCTCTGTGACGAAGTGCCCTTCGTCACTTTGTCCTGGAGAGGCCTGCTTGCCTGCCTCCTGCCCTGCGACTATGGCCCTGGGATGTATTGTCCTTCTAGAAACTGATGTGGGCATACTGGAGGCTTATATTGCTGTTTCTGGCCCTTTAATGCCCAAAGAAAGGATTTGTACTTTTAAACTGGCACTTCGGATGCTATCGAAGCAGTCGAAGTTGTCGAATTGTCGAAGTGTTGAAGTCGTCGAAGGGGCCGCCATTCGAATACCGAACACGTGGTGGCTGCCATTTTAACTCATTCGAACGCAGTCAGCGGTGTGTGCAGCCAAATATATGGAACTGTTTTCGGCTACCCAATTGCACGAACACCGCTGACCCGTACGTTCTACTCTACTTCTACACTGCAAGGGAAACTAAGTCCCTTTCGAAGATTCGAACGCTCGTTCGAATGGGACTTAGTCATTTTCTCGGTGTAAAATAGACCAAAAAGTCCATTCAGCCGTTCGGTCAAAAGTGACATATGTATCTCCCGAACGGCTGAACGGATTCAAATGATTTTTGGGTATGTTTGTATTTGGAATGTGCTGCTTAATAATATGTGACTTTTATTAATATTGGATGTATAGTTTTAGAGTTATGAAAGTTGGGAAAAAAGTATGTTTTACAAGGTATGGATAATTGGGTACGTACCCTCAATACGTAGCCTTGTCTCATTATTGGAGGGAGCTGCTATAATCATACTGGGGATTGCTATGCCCTGCATACTCCCCATAGCTTTTAATCACTTAGCTCTTTTAAGAGCTTGTTCATGATACGCTCTCTTGGGGGAGAGGTCTTCCCCACACGGTCCTGGAGGACAGAAACTGATCCAGGGTGGACGGCGAGGCTCCAGTTAAGCTATGGCGGTTGTGGAGTCTGCGGTGGTTGTGGTGTCCAGTGCGGTGCTTGTGGTCCTCGACGCAAGCTAGGAAGCGTCCATTAACGGAAGGTGATCCGTTACAGTCTCTTTTTTCTTTTTTGTATCATGCGTATAACAGATTCAACATGTCAAGTGGAACCATATAATTATTTCTCAGTCAGATTTTAAACATGTATGCAGATTTGTGGCAGTTAGGGTACTAGAGGTTTAATCTGTGGAAAAATTTGGGCTATAGAATTAAGAACCTATGCAATCTTAGGCGGGGTGCATTTAGATGTAGAGTAAGTCTTCTAAAAAGTGTGGATTATGAGGGTGGTTCTCTTTCTTGCGGTCCCCTTGTTTTAGGGAAGGTATGTAGTAAGAGCCTGTCGGGGGTAACCCGTCAGTATTGCATTGGTCTATGCAGAGAGGTTCATGAGTAAGTGCCCTTCGGTACCCAAGGGGGTGCAATATAAATGGGGGGGGGTTTGAGTGCATTTTAAGCCTGGTTCATACCAGCACGTAGTTGGCTAGTTACTAGCATACCTCAGAGTGATGTGACAAGCCCCTAACCAAGGGGGCAGCGGAAGGGGGATGGGAGAGGAAGTTGCCATTGTATAATTCTTGGTTACTTTTTGGGTTATGTGAGCGTAAAGGTGGAATAGTGGTTGATGGGAGATACATCAGACCTGATTTGCTAAACAGCAACCAGAGGATTTTCAGTTAAATGCCCCAGGGAGAGAGGTTAAAGTTTGCAATATGCATAGCTGATGCTCTGCAAAACCTGGTATGGGTCCCTGGGGCGGAGTATTTGGAGAGCAGGGTGGGCCAATGCTCCAACAGCACTAGTTGCTGTGTAACAGACCACAGCTTGGATCTGATTTTAAGAGTTAACTAATTGGCACTCACCTGTAGCTACTCAATTAGTAGACAGGCCTTTAAAAGAAGAGAGCAGCCTGCTGCAGAGTGAGGGAGAAAAAGACAGCTAGGAGATATTGTGTTTATTGCAAAGACATTTCTTTTGTTTGGAAAATTGGTAAGTGGGAAAGCCACCCAATTGCAGATAGCAATTACTGTCTAGTAAGAGCTCAAGTAAGAGCAAGGGATTTTGTTTGTTTTTGTTATTATTTAAAGTACCTGCTTTCTTACTGAATAAAAAGGAAAACTGAGCTGAAGGTGTCCTGGACTTTGTATACCCTAGAAGGCTGTGGTTACTGCAAGATCGGTGACAATCCTACCTGTAAAAGAGGTGGTTTGTTACATATGGTGGAGAATGCGGGCAGCCACGTAAGCCTGAGGGTAGAAGTCATTTAAAGCTCAACATGGAGGATGTTATCAAGGCTCTGATCCAATCCACCTCTGTGCAACAGGAGACTAACAGGAGAGCTGCAGAAAACAGTGCAGCCCTGCAGCAACTGGTGCTGGCCCAGGCAGAGTGTGCTAAAGTCCTGGCCAAAACACAAATGGAGTGCACTGAGTCCTTGGTGAAACAGCTTGTTGTGACACAAGCGGAGATGTTTAAAGTAGCCCGTGAGGAGCAGCAAAAAGTCACCCAGGGACTACAACAGGAAATCCAAGCTATCTCTGAAAAACTGAATGGAGACCCTGATGGAAGATACCAGGGGCCAAAGGTGATTCGGGCGAGCCACTATCTTCAGAAAATGACCGCATCAGATGATGTTGAGGCGTACCTTCTGGCATTTGAGCGCACTGCTGAGAGGGAGGGATGGCCGGCTGGTGAGTGGGCAAGCATACTGGCACCGTTCCTAAGTGGAGAGCCGCAGAAGGCATATTATGACCTAGAACCAGCCGATGCAAGTATCTACAGCAAATTGAAAGCTGAAATCTTGGCACGACTGGGTGTAACCTCTGCAGTACGTGCCCAAAGGTTCCACTCATGGTCATATTCTTCAGACAAAGCCGCACGTTCCCAAATGTTTGACCTCATACACCTTGCACGGAAATGGTTACAACCTGAAATCCATTCAGCTAGCCACATTGTGGAAACCTTAGTAATGGACCGGTTTTTGCGTGGTTTACCAGCTTCCCTGCGTCGCTGGGTCAGCCAAAGTGACCCCCATACAGCTGACCAACTGATTGCCTTGGTGGAAAGATATGTGGCTGCAGGAGAACTGCTATGTCCTACTTCACAGGCAAACCCTCGCAATCCTAAGCCCCAAGATTCTGCAAGACCTGGTAAGACTGTTCAAGGTTTAAGGGGAGCTGAAGAGCTGCAGCTCTATACACAAAACACCAGGGGGGCATCCAGGTCTAATAGGCCTGGGAGAGGAACTAATTGGTGGGCAGATTTTACTGTCAAATGTTTCAAGTGCAAAGAGGATGGTCATATGGCCAAAGACTGTCCATTGAAGGATGAACCTATGGAATGCAATATGGGCAAAGATGAGGGAGCACGTTCATTTTTGCTCAACTGTTATGGTACTGTTAACAATGACTATGATAATAACCCTCATAAATGCTGTGTAACTGTGAATGGTAAAATGTCTAAAGCATTACTTGATTCGGGTAGTATGGTTACGTTGGTAGCAGAGTCTGTAATACCTTGTGTAAACCCTGATCATGTACAGAAAATAGGCATTATCTGTGTTCATGGTGATAAAAAGGAATACCCCACTGCGGAAGTAAATATTGGAACCCAGTATGGGGATTTAAAGTACCGAGTGGGTGTAATACCTAGATTAGCCCATGAGGTAGTGATCGGTAGAGACTTTCCTCACTTTCTAGAATTATGGGCAGCTGTACAAAAGAGGGACCAAACTTTATCAGAAATTAGTCAATCGGCCGAGGATAATGTGTTCCCTTTTTCCGATATTGACTTGGGTTTTGACCATTGTGATGGAAAAATAAGAAAAAGGAGAAAGTACTGCCCTAAACCAGTATTAATAGGAGATAACCCAGCTCAAACTAGTGAGGAGCCTACTAATACTGCAGACAAAGATAAGGACTTAATTGATATTGGAATCAGTCCAGGTAATTTTAAAAGTGCTCAGTGGGAAGATCCCACTTTAGTGACAGCTAGAAATGATATTAAAGTTGTAAATGGGGTTGCTAATCAGCCAGGAGAAGCCCTACCGTTCCCCTATTTTGAAGTACAAAATGACCTAATTTACCGTGTAGAGAAAAGGGATTCAGACATCATTAAGCAGTTGTTGGTTCCTCAGACTTACCAAAATATAGTGCTAAAGTTGGCTCACAGCCACATATTAGGGGGACATTTGGGAGTTGAAAAAACTAGAGAGAGAGTCCTTAGAAGGTTTTACTGGCCTGGAGTGTTTGCTGCTATTACAAACTATTGCTCCTCTTGTCCAGAGTGCCAGTACAGGGCTCCTTTCAAGACTTTTCGTAGTCCACTTGTAC